AAAAAAAAAAAAAAAAAAAAAAAAAAAAGGACTGGTAATATAGTTCAGTGTGAACGCCGTGGGTTCAGTTTGTAGCACCACAAAAACTAAAATGAAATAACCTCTAAAATTGCTGTGGTTAGAATAACCTGGGGCCAGGTATCTTGTGAATCACTGGGAGAAGAGGGCATGGGATTGATTTCCTTTCCTTCCTCTCCCTCTCTTCCCCTCTTCCCCCACCAACTGGATCTCTGTGTAGCCTAAGCTGGCCTCACAACTCACCTCAATCCTCCTGCCTTAGCCTCCCAAGTGCTGTGATTACAGGTGTGCACCACCACACCTGGCCCTCCCTTCTTTGTTTTTGCCTGAGGTACTGGAGATGGAACCTATGGAGTGCCTTTGTGTTTTTATTTTGAGATATGGTCTGTCTTAGTTGCTTTCTTGTTGCTGGGATAAGGTTCCTGATACCCACAAATTAAAGGAAGAGAGGTTTATTTTGGCTCATGGTTCGTAGAGGTTTCAGTTCATAGTTGGCTGGCTCCAAGACACGGTGACACGGCAGAGGAGAAACTGCTCATGGCATGGGAGCAGGAAGCAGAGAGAGAGAGAGAGAGAGAGAGAGAGAGAGAGAGAGAGATCAAAGGAGGGGGAGGGATGTCACACCCAGCTATAAACCTGTCAGTGGCTTCATTCAGTTATAATATCACACACACCTATAAGTTCATGAGGCTTTGGGTGACTTAGCTATAAACTATGGCAGGGGCTCACAAAATGGTCCAGGCCAGCCTGGAACTTGGGATCATTTTACCGTAGCAGTAGCGGGGGTACCAGGTGTGCACCACTGTACATGACAGGTGTGGGCACAGTTTTGACCTGTAGGATGCAGGTCAGGGGAGGCATCAGTGCCACTTGGTATCTGGGAGATCATGTGACAGATGTAAGAGGACACAGGGCCTCTGAGGCTGCTTCCTTGTTCAGTGGGCATAATTCTGGCTAGCTCCTTGTTCCCCAAGGCATCTGGAGGTGTACACGATATAAGAGTTGAAGAAGGTCTGGGAACAGTGTGGCTTGTAGGCTGAGAGAGTAGGATGTGTGAGTTGACTTAGATTTCTACTAAGTTTTACTTTCCAGAAAGTAGTTAACCTTACTTTAACTGCTGAGATTGGAGTTTGGGTACTTTTGAATTCTTCCCTATGATGGGCTGCAAAATAGCCTTCACTCAGACATGTGTTTAGCTTCTGCATCAAACATAATAAATGTCTTACTTTGATCTTTTTGCATTTAGACCTCTGCCTTTATTTTTTTTCTAGTTTCTTGTGAGTTCTTCATTTTTTTTTTTAATACTTTTAGGCCTGGGGATGTAGGTTAGTGATTGACTGCTCCTTACTTAATGTGTTTATAGACCTGGGTTCCATCTCTAGCATTGCAGACATACACCGCCTCCTACATTTAATTCTTTAATCAACCTGGAATTTAGTGTATGCTGAGTGTAGGAGTACTACCTTTCTTTTTTATTTTCTCTCTCTCTCTCTCTCTCTCTCTCTCTCTCTCTCTCTCTCTCTCTCTCTTTGAGATGGGGTCACACTAGGTTGTCTAGACTGACCTTTTTTGGGGGCGTGTATCAGGGATCAAACTCAGGATCTTGTGCTTGTAAGGCAGGCACATTGCCTCCTTTTTTCAGATGTATTTTTTATTCTTGTTGATCCTTAGGGTTTTAACAAGGATGTCTGATTGTTACCATCAGTATTATATGTTTCTTAAAGAGTTCAAATTGATTTCTTTCTGTCTAGTGTGTGTGTACTTGTGTGTGTGTGTGTGCGCCCATGTGTGCGTGTGTAGTGCTGGGGATGGAGCCCAAGGTCTAGTGGGTTAACTATGCAAGTGCTGTAGTAGTGTACTGAGCTAACCCCTAACACCCCCGTTTCCTGAAATAACTTAGGTGGACTTTTTACTCAGGCCTCCTCAATTGGTGATTAAGTCTCACTTAATTAAAAAAATTTTTTTTTTTCATGTAAGTCCTAGCTTTGATGGTTTTCAGTTGGGAAAGAGAATACATGTTGCATCCCTTGGCTGTGTCTTCTTAGATCTTGGTCTGTGGACTGTTCTGTTGTGAATCTTCGCCTATGTCTTACAGGTCTGGTCCTCTCCTTCCACTCTTACTATTTCTTGTGTGTCTCTCTGGGTTATTTTTTTCTCTTCTTTCAGCTGCATGACCACCTCTCAAGGCCTTGTCTGCTTAAATGTTACTAAAATATATTTTGTATTAGCTGATCCATTGCTGGGACATAATACGTGACATCCTCAAATCAAGGGAGAGGTTTAATGTGGTTCATTGGTACCAGGGGATTCAGTTCATGGTCGGCTAGCTTCAAGGAAGAAGCATCATGGCGGAAGGGGTAAGGGCAGAGATGCTCAGCTCACGGCAGCTGGGAAGCAGAGTAGGGAGCCATGACAGAGTGTAGAGACAGGGTCCAAGTGCAGTACCCAGGGTCATGCCTCTGTGACCCACCCAGACATACGCATGAATGTGATTTATATATTTATTTAGTGGTACGGGGATTGAACTTAGGCCCTTGTGCTTGCAAGGCAGGCAGCAGAACCACTGAGCCAAGTGTTTTATTTTATTTTGTTTTATTGAGTTTATTGGTACATTTTAGGTATACAGTATGGTTACATTCATCATTAGGATCTTATACCTTTACATGACAGGCCAAGTGTTTTATTAATCCTTTGGGATCCCAAGCCAAACCAGGTCAACATGGTTAAGGCTAGGACCATCGCAGAGTCAGGGTCCTTTTGCATTTCACCGAGTAAATAAAGCTTGTAAACATTTAGGGGAAATGTTCCCTCAGGTTGTGTATTTTGGGAGTGCCATTTGGATGTTATGCTACTCTTAATCTTTGGCATTAATTGTAGTTACTGTTATTAAAAAGAATTCAGATGTAAATCAGGAAAGTGATTCAGTGGGTATACAAAGGAAACACAGAAACATACTGAATTTAATTTTTTAATATATTTTTTGATACCAGGGATCGAAAACAGGACACCTTGAGCTTGTGAGGCAGGTGGTGGAACCACTGAGCCCCTGAATTTAATTTTTAAGGTCATAAATTATAATTCTTTTTTTTTTTTTTTGGTTCTGGGGATCGAACTTGGGTCCTTATGCTTGCAAGGCAGGCGGCGGAACCACTGAGCTAAATTCCCGGCCCTTCTAATTCTTTTTTTTTTTTAATTAAAAACAATTTTTTTTTGAGATGGGGTCTCGCTATGTAGCCCAGGCTGGCCTTGAACTACTCATGGTGATCTTCCTGCCTCAGCCTTCCAAGTACTGGGATTACAGGCTTGGGCCACCACACCAGACTCATAAATTATGGTTCTATGTATTTATTACTTACCTATAAAATATAATTTAATTTAAAAGTTCTTATAAATGTTTACTGTTCAGGGATGTGACAGAAATGAATCCTTTAATGAAATGTGTACTTCTTTTCTTTTTCCCTTCTAGAATGTATGACAACATGTCCACAATGGTGTACATAAAGGAAGACAAGTTGGAGAAGCTCACGCAAGATGAAATCATTTCTAAAACAAAGCAAGTAATCCAGGGGCTGGAGGCTCTGAAGAATGAGCACAACTCCATCTTGCAGAGTTTGCTGGAGACACTGAAGTGCTTGAAGAAAGATGACGAGAGCAACCTGGTGGAGGAGAAGTCCAACATGATCCGGAAGTCCCTGGAGATGCTGGAGCTTGGCCTGAGCGAGGCACAGGTGCGTGGGAACAGCTCAGCCCTGGCCACGGTCGGTCGCTTTGGAGAAGTGCCTCTTACCCGAGCAGGGAGGCTACTCGTTTGTGGGTCCTGTGTGTTACATAATTGGCTACTGAGCTGAGCTTATTTGAGTTTTAAAAATTTATTGTTATTTTTATTTATGCATGCAGGTTGGCCGTGAGCTCACAGTGTAGCCCAGGCTGACCTCAAACTCATGGCAATCCTCCTGCCCCAGCCTTCTGCGTGCTGGTATTATAGGTGTGGACCACCATGCCTGTCATAATTTATTATTATTATTCATGTGGTAGAAGGGATTGAACCCAGAGTTTTTGCACTGAGCTACATCACCAGTGCATTTTAATTAATTAATTTTACTTATTTAAAATTTTGAAACAAAATGTTATTTTGGGGGTCTCACCAAGTTGCCCATGATGGGCTTGAATTTGTGATCTTCCTGCCATGGCCTCCTGAATAGCTGAGTTTATAGGATTGTGCAAGTATGCCCAGCCTGAATTTTATTTTATTTATTATTTGGGGGTACCAGGGTTTGAACTGAGGACCTTGTGCTTTCGAAGCAGGTGCAGTGCTGCTGAGTTAAATCCCTGGCCCCCAGCCTGAATTATATTTTATTTTATTTTAACTTTATGGGTACTGAACTCAGAACCTTGCTCTTGTGAGGCAGGTGTGTCCACCCTGAATTTTTAATTTTTTTTTTGGTACTGGGGATCAAACTCAGGACCTTGTGCTTGTGAGGCAGGCAGCAGAACCACTGAGCTAAATCCCTGGCCCAACCCTGAACTTTGTATAGAGGCATGCTATGTATCATTTAGGATTGAGCTCCCCCGCAGCAGATGAGCACCGAGGTAGGAGGTGCTGGGCTGCCAGTTCATCTGGGCTCTCAGGCTCCAGCTCCTTTATATTGCATGCTGGGAGTGTCTTGGGTCCCAAGAGAGAGCCCTGTGGCAGCTACAGGACTTTGTGCTGGGATAAGGGAAAGGAGAGTGAGGCAGGCCCTTCCCTGTAGTGCTGCTGCCTAGGTTTCACTACCATGAGAGCTAGAGCTGTTCCCTGCTGTCTGGCTCTGCAGGGCTGGGGATGCTGGCCTGCCTCAGTTTAGCACCTGTGCCTAGGAAGGGGAGGTGGGAACATGGGGTGGCAGTGGTGGCTCTGCAGTCCCCAGAGCCAGCTTGCTTTAATGTTTCTGTGGTGTTTGATATGGAGATGAAAACAGTGGAAATGTTTGGGGCTTTCTCCCCATTCACTTCTGGCTCTGCCAACACATTTTAGGTCAGATTCATACTCAGAGACTTGGCTTCTGCTCTCTGCCCGTACATTGAGTGGATGAGGTAGAAGAGGGGCTGTTGGTTGGTCACCAGTTTGTCTTTGTAGAGGAAGAAAGCACCTGAACACCCCTCTTAATGCTCCTCATCTCAGCCCTGTTCAGATGCTGGTTGTAGACCATTAGCACCGTTGGGATTTTATGAACCTGCCTTTTCCAAGCTCTTACAAAATAAGAAAGCAAAAGCCACCCTTCCAGAGCTTCTGTTTTACACCTGGGGATGGGAGCAGAGCTCCTGCGTCCCGAGAGGGGAGCACAGATCCATGATCTGCACAGGCTGGCTTCCCTGCCTTCCCACCTCCCCATCTCTCCCCTCACTTCGCTGTGGGGTAAGAGATGCTTGCCTGCCCTTCCGCCTTCACCACTGCCCTGCCTGCCTGCCTGCCTTTGTGATGTGTGTGTGTTGTGCGTGCAAACGTGTGTCTCCATGCAGAGGGTGTGTCAGGAAAGTAGATGTGTTCACTGCTTGTCCTTGAGGTGCCTTCATGTGGGAAGAAGAGATGCCATTTGCAGAAGTCCTGAGCGTGCCGTGTGGCTGAGGCATGCCATCTGCGGGATGGATGGCAGGCTGTCCTCACATGCCTGCACTGGAGGGGGGCCCTCCCTGGGTGGCGTCCTGCAATGGGACCATCTGTCTGTGCAGGTGATGATGGCTTTGTCAAATCATCTGAATGCCGTGGAGTCAGAGAAGCAGAAACTGCGCGCGCAGGTTCGTCGTCTGTGCCAGGAGAATCAGTGGCTGCGGGATGAGCTGGCCAACACGCAGCAGAAGTTACAGAAGAGCGAGCAGTCGGTGGCTCAGCTGGAGGAGGAGAAGAAGCACTTGGAGTTCATGAACCAGCTGAAGAAATATGATGATGATATTTCTCCCTCAGTGAGTGCTTGGCTGTGCCTGTGGGTCAGCACACAATGGCCGGCTGGTCTGTGTGCGGCTGTGGGCAAGGGCCACAGTTCTGTGTGCCGTGTGTTCCTAGAACAGTGGTGGAATGTGGGAAGGTGCTTTGTATATGTAAGCTCTCCCAGCCCCTTCCCAGGGTCTGCCCCTCTGGTGCTCTCCACTTCTCTGCTGTGTGTCTGGCCGCCCTGTTGGTAGCTGCTGGGTCCCCCATCTGGTCCCCAGGCCTTGCTGCCAACTCTGGGCTCACTCTACAGTTGTGCCACCTCTGGCTCCTGTGGCCTCCACTTTCCTGCTCTGTCCTCTCCTGCCCCTGGGCAGCATTTGGTCTCCTCTGTCTCTCTTCTGCCTCCTTAGCTTACCTTGCTGGCTTTCCTTTCTGCTCCTGGAGTGTTGGGGGTCCCCAGGGTCTTGGCTTTTCTTTTTCTATTGGCTTTTTTGTTTTGTTCATAAATTATTTTCACCTATAATTTATTTTATTTTATTTTATTTTACTTTATTTTTTGGCACTGGGGATCAGACTCGGGTCCTTGTGCTTTTGAGGCAGACAGCGGCACCACTGAGCTACATCCCTGGCTATAATTTATTTTTAATTCTGATAGCTTGTTTGCTTTGTCTCCCTTCCTCCCCCCTCCCCTCCCCCATCTCCCTCTCTCCCTCCCTCTCCCTTCTCCCCTCCCTTCCCCTCTCTTGTACAGAGGCTTGAACCCAGAGCCACCTCACTGAGCTACACCTCAAGGCTTTGTTTTATTTTTTTATTTTTTTATTTTAAGACAAGAACTCTCTTAAGTTACTAAGTTTCCCAGGCTGCACTCAGATTTGCAGTCCTCCTGCTCCAGACCCTCACAGTGCTGGGATGACTGGTGTGCGCCACCTTTTGAATAAACTTAAGTTTTGGAATAATTTTAGATTGACAGAGAAATGGAAAAAAAGTGAAGAAATTTCCTATGTACCCTTCACAGTGTTCTCCCTAGTATTAACATCATACATAATCATAGAATCTTTCTCAAAATAAGAAATTAACATTGCTGTGTTACCATTAATTGAAGCCGACTCCATTTGGACTTTGCCAGTCCTCCTAATAGTGGCTGCCTTTTGCCCCAGGCTCTGGTCCAGGGTTCCACAGTGGGTTTGAGCTGACTCTTCTGCCTCCTAGTGTCAGGCAGGTGCACAGGTGCAGTCATTGTACCAGTGAGTTCATGTCTGTGTCTTTGCTCAAAAGCCCCTGTGTCGCACTGCAGATCTGCCCTGGCTCTTGCCAGTGGACTCATGCTGGGGCCACTGTAGGCGGTGGCTTGCACACATGTTTTTGCTTAGTTCTGGAGCTTCGAGTCTGGGTTGGGACCAGCCAGGCTGGTTCTGGTGAGGGTGCTCTGCTGGCTTACAGGTGGCCACCCTTGTGCTGTGAGGACCTGAAAGCCATCGTGAACTCCACCCTCTGACCTTTAATCCCGATCATGTCCATGCTGGAGCCAGGTCTAGGCACATGCATTTCGATGGGGCACATTTGGATGACAGCACCATAAGTTCATAGGCTTCCCATTTCTGCCTCATGTGGCCTCCGAATTAGGTGGCACCTGGTGTTTTGCCTTAGGTTGCTGTGGGGTAGGAGCCCTGGATGTGTTGGTGCCAGCCAGTGGTTTACCGGCAACACTGGATGGGGGAGCTGACTTCACCAAATCAAAGAATAGCCTTTAAGCTATTTGTTTTTCTCATAGTTATTTTCCAGTATGGGAAATTTGGACCCAGGACTTTCCCATGGAGGTACAGCCCCAGTATCCTTCCCTCCCTTCCTCCCTTCCTTCCTTTTTTATTTTTAAATTTTTTTATTTTGAGGCTAGGTCTTCCTAAGTTGTATTTGCCCAGTTTGTGCTCATATGTGCGCTCCTCCTGTTTCACCTTCCCAGAGTGCTGGGATTACAGGCCTATGCTGCCAGATGTGGCTAAGCTTTTTACTTTAAAAAAAAAAAATGACTTTAGCCAGGCGTGGTGGCGCAGGCCTGTAATCCCAGCACTCAGGAGGCTGAGGCAGATGGATCTCTGTGAGTTAGAGACCAGCCTGGGTTACATAGTGAGTTCCAACTCAGTCTCAACTACATAGTGAGACCCTGTCTCAAAAAGCCAAAAAAAAAAAAAAAAATGACTTGGAGAGAGCCTCTGGCCTTGAAGCCAACTGCCTTCTCCCTAATGCTTGTTTCCTCTCAGCACAGCAGGTGTGTGTGCCTCTCCCCTGACTCTGCTGGGCCTGGCTCCTGGGAAGGGAGTTGTCTGTGGAAGTCCAGACTGGGGCAAATGAAGTGAATTTAACAGGATTCCACACACTGCCCTCTCCACAGTCCAGATCCTAGTTCTGTTAATTCTCTCAGCAATGTCCTTCACAGCTTTTTTTTTTTCTTTTTTCTTTTTGGTACCGGGGATTGAACTCAGGTCCTTGCGCTTGCAAGGCAGGCCACGGAACCTCTGAGCTAAATCCCCGGCCCTTTCACATCTTTTCTTCACGTTATCTGGAGATTGAGTTCAGATTACATACTGCATGCCGCCCTGTCTCTCTAGTGTTTTGTGACCTTGGTATGTTTGAGGAACGCAGGCCGATTACTTTAGCCATCATTCCTGTCTGGGTTTGTCTAATGTTCGGATTATGTGTTCCAGTGGGAATACTCTAAAGTGATGTATGAGTAGGCATGGTGGTGCACACCTGTAGTCCTTGTATTCTGGGAGGCTGAGGCAGGAGGATTGCAAATTTGAGTCCAACCTGGGCCACTTAGTGACTTAGACCCTGTTTCAAAATCTAAAATAAAAAAGGTTGGAGATGTAGTTCAGGCTCTGGGTTTCCGTGAGAAGGTCCTGTTACTGGGGGGAAAATGTGCACTTATAGAGTGTCACCTATGGACCAATGAGTGTCGCTGTCTGTATCCCTCCAGTGACTGTGTTGATTTTCAGCAAGCTCAGCTGTTTCTTTTTCTGTGCTGGGTCATCCCTGTTCTCACCCCTTGCACAAGCAGCAGTCTGCAGACAGGTGTGAGTTACAGGTGTGTGGTGCTCGTGGGGCTCCTGCAGTGGAGGGTGCCGTGGCAGAGCATCCAGCCCCCATTTCTGTGGTGATTGGAGGTGCTCTGAAATAAGGTTTTACTTGAAGTGAGGCTTCCCCTGCTGAGCTTGAACCTCCAAACACAGGTGGGAAAGCACAGGTGTAGAGACGCAGTTGTGGCCTGCGTCCTAGGTCTAATATTGGGGGTTGTAATCTAGTCAAGGTTTTTAGTTTTTGTTTTTGTTTTTTTGAGACAGGGTCTCACTATGTAGTTGAGACTGAGTTGGAACTCACTGTGTACCCCAGGCTGGTCTCGAGCTCACAGCAATCCTCCTGCCTCAGCCTCCTGAGTGCTGGGATTACAGGTGTGTGCCACCACACCCGGCTTCTAGTCAAGGTTTTGTTACTCTATTAAACTGGTGGAGAATCTACACTGGTTGACCCTGCCTGGATCTTACAGACTGGCATCTTCTTTGGGCTTGGAGTTGAAGTGCGTTTTATGTTACAGTTATACAGAGTGGAGGCTGAAAGACACTCTGGGTCTCTTTTGTAGGAGGACAAAGACTCTGACTCTGCCAAAGAGCCCCTGGACGACCTCTTCCCAAATGACGAGGACGACCCAGGCCAAGGAAGTGAGTGCAGTGCGTAGGCCTGTTTTCCTGTGTAGGGAGCCTCACTGTCCCTCCAGGGGAGGGAGCCTTAGTGCAGAGCCCTCTGTGCAGAAGCCCGAGGACGGTGGGGTTGCCTTTGTTTCCTGGGCAATGGAAAAATGTGCACATGCTTGCGGGATGCAGTAGTGTGGAGGGCGGAGTCTGGTAATCGGGCACACATGCATGGTGCAGATGTTGCCTGCGGGTCCCTGAAGGTGGAAGAGGTCATAGTCACTCTTTCTGTTAGGGTCACATCCAGAGAAGTCTTTGCCCCTGCCCGCGGACAGGGCGCATTCCTGACGCTCCTTTCCTCTTTCCCAGCGTGCCCAGGGGTCCTTAGGAAAGATTGAACTAACAGAGGGGCTGCTCAAGCTGGGGCTGGCAGGGAGAGTGTTCCATAACCAGCCTGTCCGCATGGCTGTGCTGATCACCCCTCTGAAGCAGCCTTCTCTCTGCAGTCCAGCAGCCACACAGTAGTGCGGCTGCCGCTGCCCAGCAGGGTGGCTATGAGATCCCTGCCCGGCTGCGCACTCTCCACAACTTGGTGATCCAGTACGCTTCGCAAGGGCGCTACGAAGTGGCTGTGCCGCTCTGCAAGCAGGCTCTGGAGGACCTGGAGAAGACTTCTGGCCATGACCACCCTGACGTGGCCACCATGCTCAACATCCTGGCCTTGGTGTACAGGCTAGTCCTTTGGTTTCTCTGCTGAATTGTAGCTGGAGTCAGCTTTTAACAAGCTTGCCCCAGAGTGTGTGTGTGTGTGTGTGTGTGTGTGTGTGTGTGTTTTGCAGTATTAGAGATTAAACCCACGGCTAAGAGATTAAACCCACTGAGCTACATTCCTGGCCCTTTAAAATTTCTTTTCATTTTGAGATAGGGTCTCACTAAGTTGCCTACCCTGGCCTTAAATTTGTAATCCTCTTGCCTCAGCCTCCTGAGTAGCTGTGATTACAGCTACCATGTGCTACCATGCCCAGCATAAAATATGCTTTATACATCTGTATAAACTGTGTACTTTCCAACTTTTTTTTGTAGCGGGTATTGAACTCAGTATCTTGTGCTTGCAAGGCAGGTAGCAGAACCACTGAGCTAAATCCCCAGCCCTATACTTTCCAACTTTATCATCCATTTTTCTTCAAACATCCAGGGGTTGGGCCGGGGATTTAGCTCAGCGGTTCCGCCACCTCCCTTACAAGCACAAGGACCTGAGTTCTATCCTCAGTACCAAAAAAAAAAAAAAAAAAAAAACCAAAGGATTAAAAAAAAAAAAAAAAAAAAAAAAATCCAGGGATTAAATCTAAATGCAGTACTTAGTCAACTCTCTGGCAAGGATCTCACTGTGAGGGAGCAAATGCTGCCTTAGCTACCTGGATCAGCCTTTCTTCCTTTTCTGCCTCCTCCTTCCCCTAACCAGGCAGGTGCTCTACCCCTACTCTGTGCCCAGCCACCATGTCAGCCTTTCTAGAGCAGGCTGCACACACCCTCTGCTCTGGTCAGTGAGTGTTTGACTTTGCCCATGAGACTCTGTGCCAGGTTTCTTTGGTCTGGAATGGCTTCCCTGCCTTGCCTGTAATCCTTCCCTCCTTCCCAGGGGTTTTGAAATCTGAGAGTCCACATGCCCTTTGTCCCTCTGTCTCCTTTCACCCTGTCGCCTCTGCAAAAGGTACCTGGGGCTGTGTGGACAGAATGGTGCTGGGCCAGAGACAGGGCAGCTTGTGTGCTGATGTGAGGCTGGCTGGACAGGGTGTGTGCAAGAAGACAGAAGTTGGCCTGGGTTGCCCAACCAAGAGACGTGCAGTAATGCTCCTAGCTCCATGGATGAGTTCCTCTTTTTTTTGTAGTACTGGATATTGATGCCAAGGTCTTTACACCTCAGCTACACCCCAGCCCATTTTTTTGTTTTTATTTTGAGACAGGATCTTGCAATGTAGCCCAAGCTGGCCTTGAACTAGTGGTCCTCCTGCCTCAGCCTCTCAAATGCTAGGATTATGGTTGTGCATCATTATCCCTGGCAGCTTTGGATTTTGTTTGTTTGTTTGTTTTTTTGGTGGTACTGGAAATCGAACTTGAGCTGTTGTGCTCAAAAGGCAGGCAGTGGAACCACTGAGCCAAATCTCCAGCCCAGCTTTGGATTTTTTAAAGATAAATTCCTAAGACAGGTCATTGTATAACCTTTGCCAGTGTTTGCTGAACTGCTTTCAGAGGGAAGCTGCATTCATGCTCCTGCCATAGCGTGCACTTCCTGAGTGGCCTTGGTCGTGGCTTTTTCCTTTCTGGTGGATGATTCCTGTTTCTTTGAGCCCGTGTTTTTAGTTATCCTTGTCTGACTGTGAGTTCCTCCTGTCTTGCTCATTTTTTATCTTAGGATTTTAATGCTTATAGCAGTACACATTTCTTCTCATTTTGCATCTGAACTTCCCTTCCTGGTAAGCTTAAGTCCCACCATGCTGGGCTCCTGACAGAGCAGATCTGGGGGGGCGGTCCCTGTTTCTCTTGAATTTCAGCTGAGGTTGTGGCTGCTAGCAGGTCCTTCTCAGACTCTAATCCGTGCTGTATGATGCCAGGTGTGAGTTGCCCGTGGTTCGGGGTGGCAGCAGCAGTGTCCTGTGGTCTCCATTGGATGGGAGGCTATGTGAAGGAGCTGGCCAGGCTCTCCCACCTTGGCAGGCATATACCAATGCTTAGACAGGTGCAGTGCCACTGAGCTAAATCCCTGGTCCTTAGGGTCTCACTATGTAGTTGAGACTGACATGGAACTTACTATGTAGGCCAGGCTGGTCTCGAACTCACAGCATTCCTCCTGCCTTGGCCTCCCGAGTGCTGGGATTACAGGCATGTGCCACCACTCCCGGCTTGTTTTGTTTCTGGTTTTTTTTTGTTTGGTATTGGGGATTGAACTTGGGTCCTTGTGCTTGCAAGGCAGGCAGTGGAACCACTGAGCTAAATTCCTGGCCCACGGCTTGTTTTGTTTTTTAATAATGGGAGTTTAGCCTGGATTTCTGTAGCTCCAAAATGATATTTAAGAAGATTTAGGAGGCTTGGGTGGTGGAGCTTGGTGTGAGGCTGTGGGCTCGGCCTCTGGTGCTAGTAAATGGACAGATTACAATTAGTTACTGCAGCTCAGCACTCACTGTACATTTCTCACTTTAGGGACCAGAATAAATACAAAGATGCAGCCAATCTCCTGAATGATGCTTTGGCCATCCGTGAGAAAACTCTGGGCAAGGACCATCCTGCGGTTTGTATATCTGGCTCTTTCATTGTTTTACATTTTGTTTTCCCCAGTGTGTTTTTGCCCAGCTCATCCCAGTGTCAAACTCAGCAGGGAGGTTCTGACAGCTGCCTGCTCCTAGCTGGCACAGGTAGGGCTTTGCCTGCACGGTAGTGAACACTTCACATACAGCTCTGCTGCTCCCTGTGCCCGTCACTCCTGATCTATGAGAGCACACCGTGAATGGACCACCAGCTGCACCTTTCAATCCCAAATCAGACTGCATGTCCTTCTCTAGATTGGTTTCTTGGGAATTTGCATTGTCTCCATAAAAAATCTGGTCAGATTTGTGCAGAGATCTCTTGATTGGCTTTGTGGCTTCCAGGGAAATTTAAAAAATCAAGATGATGTTGATGCCAGTTTGTTCAGTGTTAGAACTTGTGTGCTGCAGCACTGCTTGGTCCTCTGTCTCGCAGCAAACTTCGCTGGTCTTTGACCAGAGGTCACTTTTTGTCCAGTGAGAGGGCTTCACTTTGTGCTGGTGACCGGGTGAGTGTGATGCACAGCTGCCTGTCAGGATGTCTCTCGCTCATGGTTCTTGTGGCCTCCTGTGTTGGCAGGTGGCGGCAACTCTGAACAACCTTGCAGTCCTGTATGGTAAACGAGGAAAGTATAAAGAGGCCGAGCCACTGTGTAAAAGAGCCCTGGAGATCAGAGAAAAGGTACGGAACAAGGAGAAAACTCACTTGCTGAGATTTAACATTTTGAACAATAATTTCAGCTTTAAGTTTTGGGAAATGAGCATTGTGTCATTGCTAATTGCTTACTGAAAACAACCAATTTTAAAAGGTGGAAAGCTCCCAAAACAGAGTCCAGCTGGCCCATATAATCAGTGTGGGAGACCCGCATTAGGAGCATGTGCTCAGGGTTCCACACTCCTTGGTGTGGGGGCACAGCAGGAGCCGTTGGGGACAGTGCACTTGACAAGGGTGTGTGCTTGTCAGTAAGGAAGGTGCACGTTAATGTTTAAAAACATGTACCACACATGCCTTATCAAAGGTAAGAAACGAAGCAGTTGTTTTCACAACTAAAGGTTAACTCAGCTGTCCGTGCCTCAGGGCCAGGACACTTAACACCACCTGCAGCCTGAGTGGGGACTGGGTGTGGTGGTCTCAGTAGCAGAAGTTTGGATGTTGCAGTCAGGTGTCAGGCCCACCCCATGAGTGACTTGGGGTAGTAGTTTAATTTGAGATTGTTTTGATTGTTTATCTCTCATATTGAGAGATTAATTACTTGCTTTTGAGCCATATGGCAAAGAATTAGAAACTGAAAGGAGTGCATCATCAGATGTTATAGATAATACTTTATCATGGTGTCATCTGGATGATATTCATAAAGTAAAAGTCAGGGTTGAGTGGGTTGGGTTTAAAATCAGGGAGAGCACAAAGGTATCAGTGATCATGAGCACTGTAGAATGCCGCACAGGCGTGGTGATGTGTGGCACATGCCTTAGTCCCAGCTGCTTAGAGGGTGAAATGGAAAGGTCACTTGAACCTGGGTATTGGAGACCAGCCTGGATTACTTAGTGAGACCTCGCCTGAAAAACAGGAAAAAAATCCTGCAAAATTTATTAAAGTATTTGTTCCTTCATTTGTTCAGAGCCCCACTTAGTCCTTTCCTGGGAGCACTGACTGTCCACTGGACACCCCTGGTGACCACAGACTGTGTCCTGTGGGACAGGGGATGGCACAGGCTCCACAAGCTGAGGACTGGGGTTGGCTTCCCAGAACAGGCCAGTGTCTGACCAAAGAGCCGGGGAGAGGGCGCGTGCAGACGTGGTGCACAGGACAGCGCATCTCCCAGGAACTGTGCCTGTGCGGCGACAAGCACTCAGTCGGGGTGCTGAGTGCAGCACTGTCATAATGAGGACACGAGGTTCTACTGATGGAGAAGACAGACAGCGCTGGCACTCCTAGGCGTGTGTTTTATTTTGGTGCTAGGGATTGAACTCAGGACCTTGTGCTTTGTGAGAAAGGCGGCAGCACCATTGAGCTAAGTCCCTGGCCCGCTAGGCATGTGTTTTAATTGTAGGTTTGGGTAGTAAAGGATTCATGAGATAGATTTGGGTTATTTGATCCCACCTAGGTAGTTCAGACTTAGTGCAACTCTCTCTCATAATTTGAAAAAAAAAAAATGGTTGGAGATGTAATGTAGTGTGAATCCCCAGTAACTCCCTGCCAACACAGGAAGAAGAACGAGCAGGAGTAGATACTGGTTATTTTGGTCATGATGGCCATTTGAAGCACAGTCCTGTTTTCCTTTTAGAAGGCTGCTTCTGGGTGTGGCAGCACAAGTCAGCGTTTCTAATTCCTAGTGTTTATTCCCAGGTCTTGGGAAAGGATCACCCTGACGTTGCCAAGCAGTTGAATAACTTGGCCTTACTGTGCCAGAACCAGGGCAAGTATGAAGAGGTGGAATATTACTATCAGAGAGCCCTGGAGATCTACCAGACAAAACTGGGTCCTGATGACCCCAACGTGGCCAAGACCAAGAACAACCTGGTATTTGAGGGGACTGCTGGGACCTTTCTCGCTTAGACCCCAGCGCTTTCCCAGCTCTCTGCTTCTCACTGCAGAGAAACATGCATGCTTTATTTGTATGAAGGACACTAAATCCTTTATTTTATTTTAAGGCATCCTGTTACCTGAAACAAGGAAAGTTCAAGCAAGCGGAAACACTGTACAAAGAGATTCTCACCCGTGCGCATGAGCGGGAATTTGGTTCTGTGGATGGTAAGAAATGTGCCTCTTTGCTGCAGATGTAGTCATAACAGTGCATGCAGAAAGGGATTTCCTACTTGAATTAAGTAAGGTTGGGACTTCACATCTGTTTTCTAGATGGAAGTTGGTACGGTTTTCTCAGTGGTGCTTGGCTGAGAGGATGTGGCAGAGGCTGAGTGCCCCCTGCCCACTCGCTGCTTCCCTGCTCAGTGAGAACTGTGTCCTCCTAGCCCTTCCTCTGCCCACACCTTGGAGTTATTAATCTTTTTTTTTTTTTTGGTACAGGACCTTGTGCTTGTGAGGCAGGCAGCAGCACCACTGAGCTAATCCCTGGCAGAGAGCTAAGGTCATATCTCTGTTTTGTTCCTTCAGAGAGTGTAGGTGCTTAATACACAGTTATGGTGAAAGTATTCTATATAATTTAAATTGTTCAATTAAAATATTTGTGTGCTTATTTTCCTTCATCAGGTGTTACAGAGGCATTTAGATGAAGGGAGTTGTTACTGGTCTGCAGGAAGCCTAAGCATGTAGAGGGAAAGGGGTATTCTGGTTAACTCATATACATATATATTTTTTGATCCATTGGGGCACTTTATTTGCAGAATGTATTATGTCCCTAGAAGAAGAATCCTGGGACTGTCCCTCCTGTGTGGCTTCATCCTGCTCTCTTATGGCCTGCAGTGCTTGCTGAGGTTATCAGAATAATGAACCCAAACCAGGAGGCCAGGAGCAGAGTGTCTGCTGTTTTTCTAGACCCCTAGTTGTATGTCAGATCCACGCTGTGTAGCCTGCCTGTGAGGTTTGCACAAGGAGAAGTGGGACAGTGGGAGGAGCTGGCAGTTTCTTCCTGGCATCCAGGACACTGTTGAGGGCACTGTCCAGGATGTGCAGTATGGTACCTTGGCCAGAAGAAGTTAATTTTTTTTATAGTGTTTCCAGGAACCATTTTTGGAAACATATTCCCCAACTGCATTTTGTTTATGTGCTGCTAAGTGGAGCAGTAAATCTCTCACCACAGGAACGCCATAGGCTCTGGCTTGCCACTGGCAGGCTGGCATTGTACCTGCTGTTCACAGTTTGCAGAGTACATTCCCAGCCTTACCCAGCTGTAGAGCTTTGCTGACTTGATATCAAGTGTCAAGCCATCTTCCAGTGCTTCTAAAATATTCTCATGGGTTAGACTGGTTTCCTTATGATCGTCTGGCTCCTTCCTGCTTCAGATAGTGTGTGAAGCTTAGTTAATTGGGTTCTAGTTAAAAGCAGTTTTCTGTGTTAATCCTTAGTATTACAAAAAAAATTCTTTTTCCTCCATGGCATTGCTGTGTTGGTTGTCTAGTAGGATGGATGTGTTGATGTTCTATAAGTTAAGACTTTAAAGGAATATCGACTTGTTTCTTTCTACTTTTGCTCCCAGATCTTAGATGTTTGTTGAATGTGAAGTTGCTCAAATTCTAAGTACTCCCAGGTGACCTGTGCCTTGCAGGTATAGGCCTGACCTTGTCGGTTGGCTGGCCCAGGTGCATCCCCTTGCCAGGCACCCTGGAGCCTGTATCTCCCAGCTGTAATGCTAGATGTGAATGGCACCTGCTTCCTCTTTCCTCCCTGGGCCTTCTCCTCCTACATGAACTGGATGTGTCGAGAGAAGTAGCTCAGAAGGACATATGAAAACCAAAGCCTAGACCTTGCAGTTGCTGAAAACTGACAGCATCTGCCCAGTAGGCTGTCTTAGTCTTCAGTTTATAGATTGTGTTTTTTTTTTCTTTTCTAGATGAAAATAAGCCCATTTGGATGCATGCTGAAGAAAGAGAAGAGTGCAAAGTAAGGCTGTAACTATTTTAAGGGGATTTTCTACATTGGATGCCCTGGATTGAACACGATTATTCATGTGAAATTATCTGTTATAATTTAGGGAAAGCAGAAGGATGGGACATCTTTTGGAGAGTATGGTGGCTGGTACAAAGCCTGCAAAGTTGATAGGTAGGTCTGCTGTCTGGCCGAAAACCCCAGGCAAGGCAGGTGATGGCCGTGGGTACAGCTTGGAAAGGACAGATGTGTGGTTGCACAGTTCCATATTTTCCCCAGATCCTACAACAGAAAGCCCCAGTGTCTGTGGAAATGGGTCAGCATACACAGACACCACCACAGTAGCATGCGTACTCCCTGTGGGTGCTGCTGACCTGATTAAAGGAAAGGAGACCCTTAGTGAGGGAGACAGCACCACAGGTGGCCATGCAGCACGCTCAGGGCAAGCATGCGGGGCGCCTCAGGAGGCCAGTCCGGAGCAGGCTTCCCTGGCTGTGTGGGGTGATCCTGACGCACACCTCTCTGTCCTCACAGCTCTGGGGGTGTGCATGAGCCCCCATGGTCCTGAACCTGTGCTCCCACGCACACACCAGACCATCTGAGCAATGTACTCCCTGCCGCTGTTCTGCTGCTATAACTTCCTGTCCCTTTACCACTTAGCTCCACACTCTGCTTCAGACAGACCCGCTGGACCCTAGTATGGAATAAAACTGCGCCTCCCCCAGGAGCCCCCGTCAGTTATCCCCAGATGTGAAATTGACATCTTTCTTTCTCACACTGGCCTTGGATGTGAGGGTGGCTTCTTTATGCCTGTCGTCAGTGGGAGCGTGAAGCACCTCTGTGAGTGCTCTGCTGCAGCTGTGCTCCAGGGACTGTGTTCGTTCCTCACCTGGAAGACTCCCTGTCAGGACACAGTTGCACTCGTGGTCTCCAGCTCCTTTTGCTTCCCTGTGCATGCTGCCTGTGTCCACTGACACCAGGCCTTGAGGCTCAGGCTTGCTGTGCTGGGAGACGAGGGAGTGTGTGGCGCTGTGGCCACCAGACCTCATCCCGCTGGCGCAGGCCACGCTCTGTCTGCAGGGGTGGCTGACCACTCACCAGCACCCATGTACTGCTGTGGCTCTGATGGCACTGGGCGGCCGGGCTGAGTGAGCACAAGTGTCCCATGCTAGAGCAGAGGGGGCCGCAGCCGTGGCCTTGTGCAGGTTCCACAGTGGGGAAGAAAATAAGGGAAACAAAAATAGATGATGCGGAGTTACAGCATGCACTCCCCAGGACACAGGGAGACATACTGCAGGTGGTGACTGCCCCAAGACACCCTCACGGCTCTGTCTCTCATGTGCCTCCACAGTCCGACTGTCACGACCACATTGAAAAACCTTGGAGCACTTTATCGACGTCAAGGGAAATTTGAAGCTGCAGAAACTTTAGAAGAAGCCGCCATGCGATCACGTAAGCAGGTGAGTCACTTGCGTCTGACTTATCCTTTAGAACTATGAGATTTCAGAACCCAGCGTGTGATAGCACGCCCCGTCAGTAATCCCAGCACTTGGGAGGCTGAGGCAAGAGGATTGCTATGAGTTCAGAAAACCAAAGCCAGGTGTGATGGCTCATGTCTATAATCCCAGCCCTGGGGAGGCTGAGCGAGAAACTCTAGTGGGCATTTCCTGGCATCCCATGAAACTGTGCAAACATATGCAAGGGTTGAGTGAATTTTACTCTCCTGTCCTGTCACTGAGATTGTGTTGTGAACATTTTAGATACTTTTGGGTTGGGGATCATGTCACCGATGCTGCACCTGCCTTGCAAGTGTATGGTCCTGAGTTTGGTCCCCAGTACCAAAAAAAAAAAAAAAAAAACCTC